ATGTATCTTTACCGTGGGATGGGCGGGTGGGTGATGTGCTTGGGGTGGAGATGGACACATGCAGAGGTCTCTCCTTTCATGCTTCATGTGGGTTACAGGGACTGAGCGGAGGTCTCCAGGCTTAATGGCAGGCATCCTTATCCATCTCGTACATCAGGCTCACACTTTAGAAGTTAGATTTGGTAAGGGTACAGTGAGGCCCAGGCAAGCGCCCCCACCCCCAACTCCTTGGAGGCCCTGACTGTAACTGCTGATACCACAGACCCGTTCTTTTTGGTGTTGGGGAGAGCCTGACACAGGTCGGGCCTAGCCTGAGCAGGTACGGTCCATCTCCCCTAGAAGCCAGCCTAGGCGCGTGCCATCCCCATTTCCACGGCTCCAGCTCCTGGGGGCCCGACGGAAATCACAAGGCCTGCAGGAGGTCCTGCAGCCTTCAGAAGGGACCCTGGGTCCTGTTCACCCCGGCTCCCGGCCACCCTGATCCCCGATCTCTCGGGGAGGAGAGAGAACTCAACTCCGGGTCTCCTCGCCCGGTTCTCCCACAGCGCTGACGTTGCCCTGCGGCCCAGCTGGCTGCAGTTTTTTCGCAATAACAATATCCCGGGGAGGGGAGGAGCGGCGGGGTGAATGGGCGCCTTTGTCCCCGACTCTGTGAAGGCCGATTAATTATGCGCCGCGGAGCGCGGGAGCGCGGCCGTCCGGCCCCCTGCGCGCCTGAAAGGCCGGGGCTTGGGAGCATCGGCTCCGCGCCGCCGCACAAAGGGCCGCGCATTAGGAGCCCGGCAATTACCCCGCAGTTTGGATGTGTCCTTGTCTCGCTGACACCGGGGGCCCCCCCCTCTTCTCCGGGCGGCTGCACTTTGAGGATTTGCAAGTCCTTTCTTGGTTGCTAGGGGCGACTGGGTAGAGGGGTTGGGAGCTTGGGGTGGGGTGGGGTGGGGTGGGGGGCACGCCAAGCCTGTCCAGTTGCAAGTGTCCCCGGCCGGGGTGGGGGAGGGGCGGGAGGGTGTCACCCCTGGGGACCTGGACCTGAGGGCTGATGTTTTCTCTAAAGCTGGAGCCCCCCCCCCTCCCAGAGTGCAGATTCCTGGGCCTCACGCAGAGGACTCCCTGATTTAGTTGGGGTGTGTGTGTGTGGGGGGGGGTGCCTTTTAAGCACCACAGGTATAATTTTTAAAACTTAGCGTGGAAGAGTGAAACAGAATGTATAGATTTAATTTTTTTTTAAAGCATTTACATTTATCATTCTTTTGTGTGTGCACGCACACACGGGCCCGCGCTTGCCACGTTGCACGCTGCACACGTGGAGGTTCAGAGGACCACTTGTGGGAGTCTGTTTTCGCTTTCTAGCATGTGGGTCCTGAGGGATAGAATTCAGGTCTGTAACAAATGTCTACCTGCAGGGCCTTTTCGAAGGCCCTTTAATGCACAGCTCCTCAGTGGGCGTTTCGCTCTGTGTCCCTTACATCACATTGGCATACAGAACAGGTCCATCAGTCCAAAAGGTTCCTTGAATCCTCTTTCTAGCGCCCCCCCCCCAACTCCTGTCCCACCCTCCCAGGCTCTGCCCTTCTGAATGGTGACACATCCCTTAAATGTCATCTGGCTTTGGGTTTGAAGATCGATGGAGTCACACAGTGTGTCTCTGATTTCTCCGCAGTGATTTTTGAAGTCCATACACAGTGTGTATTCATAGTTGGTTTCTTTTTTATTAAAAACAGCTTATCTGTTTGCCTGGCACTTTGACGTCTTCTAAGTTGTGGCTGTTGGAAGTCAAGCTGCTGAGATGGTTTTGTGTAGATCTTTTTATGTGTGTCTTTTGGATAAATACCTAGGAGTGGAGTTGCTGGGTCCCAGGGAAGGCATTTCGTTTTAAGAGAAAGCAGCTGGCTTCTTTTCTTTCTCTCTTTCTTTCTTTTCTTTTTCTTTTTTTTTTTTTTTTTTTTTTTTTTTTTTTTTTTTTTTTTGGTTTTTCGAGACAGGGTTTCTCTGTGTAGCTTTGCGCCTTTCCTGGAACTCACTTGGTAGTCCAGGCTGGCCTCGAGCTCACAGAGATCCGCCTGGCTCTGCCTCCCGAGTGCTGGGATTAAAGGCATGCGCCATCATCGCCCAGCCTGGCTTCTTTTCTTAAGCATCTACACCCTGTGCATGTTTATACTCTATGAAAAGTGTATGAGGTGTTCCAGTTACTCTACATGCTTGTCCACACTTGGTATTGTCAATGTTTTTTGAGTTTAGCTGTTCTAACATGGAATCTTACTGTGTTTTTTTTCTACTTTGGGAGGCTGGGTAATTTTAATGCCTGAGCTCCCGAGGACTGACTATACAGTATCGTTTTTTTTTTTTTTTTTTTTTTTAAAGATTTATTTATTTATGTATACAGTGTTCTGCCTGCATGTATGCCTGCAGGCCAGAAGAGAGTACCAGATCTCATTACAGATGGTTGTGAGCCACCATGTGGTTGCTGGGAATTGAACTCAGGACCTTTGGAAGAACAGCCAGTGCTCTTAACCTCTGAGCCATCTCTCCAGCTCCATACAGTATCGTTTTGTGTGTGTGTGTGTGTGTGTGTGTGTGTGTGTGTGTGTGTGTGTGTGTGCAAGTGCACTCACCTATATGGAAGCCAGAGGAGGACACTAGTGTCTTCCTTTACCACTCTTTGTCTTAGTCCCCTGAGACAGGGTCTTTCACTGACATGAAGCTGGCCATTTGGGTCAGGCAGGGCAGCCTGTGGGATCTGGGACTTGAAGCAACTTCCTGTCTGTCTCTCCCAATATGGGCTACAAGCATGTGTGGACACACCCTGCTTTCAATGTTAACTGTCCTCTTCAATGGCACTCTGCCCGTGCTGTTCCCCACAAACACCCTCACTTGTCTACTGATGTATTCCTTTAAATATCCCCCTTATTCTTCATTTACCACCCCAGGATCCCCACCCCTAAGTTAAGCAACTACATGATTGTGTTTGACATCACAACTTTGGACGTTGTCTTAGTTACTTTTCCTATTGCTGCGATAAAACACCCCGGCAAAAGCAACTTCAGGAAGGAAGGGTTTGTTCGAAGGTGAGGTGGCTTGAGGTGGGAGCTCCTGGAGGCAGGAGCTTGAGGTAACTAGTTACTTTGCATCTACACTCTGGAAACAGAGAGTAACATATGCTCACGTTTAGCTACTTTTCTCCTTTGTATGCAGTCCAGCATCCAAGTGCAGGGAATGGGGTCACACACTTTTAGGGCGAGTCTCCCCACCTCAGTTAACCTAATAAAGATAATCCCTCATAGGCATGCCCAGAAGATAATCTAAGTAATCCTTCACTGTGTTTTTAGGGTTCACTGCCTTGTTGGGTGTGCTTTTTAGTTAATTATGCATCCACTCGGTTTTATTTATTCTTCCTACTCATTCCATTCCTTTGTTTTGTTTTGTTTTGTTTTCCAGACAGGGTTTCTCAGTGTAGCTCTGGCTGTCCTGGAACTTGATCTGTAGACCATGCTGGCCTTGAACTCAGAGATCCACCTGCCTCTGTGTGCTGGGATTAAAGTTGTGCGCCACTACCACCCAGCTTCATTCCATATCTGAAGTGAAGTATGTAGTCAGAACATTTCTCAGGTCCTGCCAAGCCCCTGCAGTCCCGAAGCCCACTTATAAAATAATCATTCAGAGGCTTATATTAATTATAACTGCTTGGCCATTAGCTCAAGCTTATTACTGACTAGCTCTTATACTTAAATTAACCCATAATTCTTATCTATGTTTAGCCATGTGGCTTGGTACCTTTTCTCAGTTCTGCCTTGACATCTTGCCTCCTCTGTGTCTGGCTGGTGACTCCTGACTCAGCCTTTCCTCTTCCCAGAATTCTCCTCTTCTGCTCGCTCCGCCTATACTTCCTGCCTGACTACTGGCCAATCAGCGTTTTATTTATCAACCAATCAGAGCAACACATATTCACAGCATACAGAATGACATCCACAGCAGAAGTAAAAGAGAAAGACAAGCCAAAGAGATGGCTAGAATAGGACTTGTCCTCAAGAAGCTACTCTGGGATGGAGGTGTGCTCCCCCCCCCCCTTTAGAAGCACATGTCTGTGCATGCACCATATTCCTTCACTTGAGGAATGGAGCAAGCCAGGAGCTAGAGTTACAGGCAGTTATGAACTGTCCAACGTAGGTGCTGGGAACTGAACTCTGAAAAAACAGCAAGTATGCCTAACTGCTGATTCATCTCTCTAGACTTCTAAGAATCTGATGCATTAGGTGCTAAAAGGTGGCATGTTGGACTGGGAGATGACTCAGGGGGTAAAGGCACTTGCTGCCGAACCTGATGCTCTGAGCTTGATCCCTGGGATCCATATGGTGGGAGGAGAGAGCTAGCTCCTGAAAGTTGTTCTCTCTTACACACACACACACACACACACACACACACACACACACACACACACACAGAGTAAATAAGTAAATGTAAAAAACAAAACAAAAAAACAACAAACCCAACAACTAGAGATAGTTTCCCCCTCACTGTGGTTTCAATATGATTTAAGGAGAATAACAAAGACTAGAATTAGATAGAATTAGCCCAGCACACCTTTAATCCCAGCACTCTGGAGGCAGAAGCAGACAGAGTCTCTGTGAGTTCAAGGCCAGCCTGATCTACATAATGAGTTCCAGGACAACCAGGGATATATAGTGAAACCCTGTCTCAAAAACAAAACAAGGTCGGGCGGTGGTGGCGCACGCCTTTAATCCCAGCACTCGGGAGGCAGAGCCAGGCGGATCTCTGTGAGTTCGAGGCCAGCCTGGGCTACCAAGTGAGTTCCAGGAAAGGCGCAAAGCTACACAGAGAAACCCTGTCTCGAAAAACAAAAACAAACACAAACAAACAAAACAAAACAAAATGTAGAAGAGAAAGAGGAAGAGGAAAAAAAAGGAGGAGGAGGAGGAGACGGAGGAGGAGGAGGAGGAGGAGGAGGAGGAGGAGGAGAAGAAGAAGAAGAAGAAGAAGAAGAAGAAGAAGAAGAAGAAGAAGAAGAAGAAGAAGAAGAAGAAAAAATAATTATTAAATGAGAGTTGTAGTTCCCAGAAGGGAGAGAACTCTGCAGGAGGTGGTCAAAGAGGGCTCCCTGGAGGGGGCAAAGGCCAGGATTGAATAGCGTGCAAATTCCAGGACAAGGCCTCTGAAAGAACTCCCTGTGGGTGTTAGGGTGGTTCCCAGAGAAAAGGTCCCAACTGTGAGCCACACAAACCCCAAGAGCTGTCTACAGTAGTTCCACGCCTTGTTTAGGACTTGTGTCTCCAGGAAGGGCCAATAGGTCATGGATGGTTTTCTCACTAACTCCTGAGAGGCCAGCCTGCTGTAACCATCCACAAAAGAGATCCCTGGGCGTTCAGCCATCTTATCGCTCCCTCCAGATGCAGCAACACAAGACAGCTGCCATGCACCAAAGCTCTTGGGTATCAGTGTTGTTTGTGCTCAGAGAGACTCAAGTTCAAATTCTTCTCCTTAGGAGGACTGTCACTGGAGACGGGAGCCATCAGTCATTCACCTCTGTAGCACTGTCAGAGGCTGTGAGGTGATCAGAGATGAAGTGAGACAATGGTCATGGACATTGGCTTGCAGTGTTGTGTGTGCGCGTGTGTGTGCGCGCGCGTGCGCGTGCGTGCATGTCAGATACTTACCATGGCACATATGTGAAGGAGAGGACAACCTCAGGTCTAAGTTTACACTTCTATCTTGCTTCAGGCAGGGCCTTTGGTTCACAGCACACACTAGGCTACCTGGCCTCCACTGGTGTGCTCTGGTATTGCGAGCATCCCCCACCCCCCCCAAGATTCTTCCTCTCCAGACTGTAGAATGTTGACCTGAGGTGGAGCCTGGGGAAATGCTGGCATGTTTGCTTTAATGGGAATGTTCTAGTGAGGAGAGATATTTAGCTCCTCGGACCTGCCATGGCTTCTGCCTTCCCAGGGACTCAATTGCTCAAATTCCCCCCCCCCTGGAAATTTAATAAATCTATTATTATGGTTTTTCAGGTTGATTATTATGGCTTGGGATGTGAAGCAGGTTAATACGTTATTTTGTTGCCTTCCCAGCTCTCTCCTGCTGCTGCTCAGAATATGGTGTCTTTACTGAGTTAAAGGAAGGAGCCCCCTTTCTGGGTGGGCAAATTAGAAAAAGCTGCGCTTTCCTTGTGGCAGACATAACCTCTCATCAGGGTGAAATGCTCGGCGGGTGGAATGTGAGGCTGGGTTTCAGGCTTCTCTCCAGTGCCGTCTGTGGTCGGGGCCCCTCTGCGCAGTGCACAGGCTATATAATCGTTCACAATGGCCCCGCCTGCCTACCGCTTGTTTCCTGGACGATTGGCCGTCTGTCCCCAAGTGTCCTTCATAATATGAAGTATTGGTCCAGGTTTTTTGAGATAGGGTCTCAGGTAGAGGCTGGCTTTGATCCTTCTGCCTCAGCCTCCCAAGTGATCCGAATCTTCTGATGAACAACCTCCGGGCTTTAGAGGAAGCTTCTCCTGAGCCCATTCCCACGCCAGTGCTGGGACTGAGCCTATGACCTCATAGGGGCTCAGTACACACTCCACCACTGAGCTCCATCCTCAGTCTAACAGACACTCCTGAAAGGTTCCAAGGATACTCTTCCCTCCCACACGGGGACAAAACTAGTTGACAAGACAGTGCCTTGCAGGCGATGGGGACAGTGACATGGAAATCACCCCCAAGGGACTAGTGACGACAGGAAGAAAGATCCCAAGGGAGGCCTCACCAGTTCCTTTCACAGGCAGGCCGCCACACCTTCCCGGAGGAGGAGAACCCTCCCATCACACGGGTTATGCTGCTTTTCATCGAGGAACCTGAATAGATGCGTGCAAGTCACGACTGTCTCCTGTCAGGGGACATCATGTAGGCTCCCTGCCTCTATGGCGGCAGAAAGCAGTGTGGGACTCTGGTGTGACTTAGTGGCATGTATGAAGTCCTGGGTTCCAGCCCAGCCCAGCACCAGCACTGTCAACTAAGAGGGCATTTAAGGGTGTGAGCCTGTAGCAAGGTACATCTGGGGTTCAAATCTCAACTTTGTCCCTTTCTAGCTCTGTGGCCTGGATGTATTAACCTCTTATAGTTTTATAGTTATCTGTTTATTTAGGATTTTAAAGACAGGTTCTCACCATGAAGCCTTGGCTGGCCCGAAACTCACTATTTAGACCAGGCTGGCTTTGAACTCAGAGAGTGCTGGGATTAAAGGTGTGCACCATCATGCCTGGCTTCTTAAGAACTTTAAGACGTATATGTTATTCTTGGCTTCTTCTACCATCAAGAAATTAGGTCTGGGCCTGGAGAGACGGCTCAGTGGTCTTGAAGAAGACCCCAGGGTTGAGTCTCAGCATCTATGTTGCCTGGGTCACAACTGCTTGTCATCCCGGATCCAGGATATCAGATGCCTTATTCTGGGATTTGTGGGCACCCACGTACAAGTGGTACACACACACACACACACACACACACACACACACACACACACACCATGATAAGAGAGAGAGAAACCATGTCTCTCCTCTTCCTCTCCTTTTCAACCTGGATGGGGATTTGGGAGCACCAGAAGTTCCCCAAATGTCGCAAATGACATAGTGACTTCTAAGTCTCAGCTGTGAAAGCTCACGTAACTTCCCGTGGCTCCTTTCAGAGCACTCATGCTGGAATTCTTCAGTTGCCACGAAAGAAAGCCAGCTACCCAGAATCCTAAGGGGACACCTGAGAAGCCACCACCACCCAGCCCGAGTTACCTGTGTTGTCCTTGTTGGAGCCCCCAATGTGTGGATGAAGGCCTGCAGGTTCCCCGAAAACTCAAGGCCCCGAGTGAGAAGCACCATGCCAGCCCAGTCACCCAAATCCACACACAAGAGAGATGGTTACCATTGTTCTTTTTTTTTTCAAGGGTTACCATTGTTCTGAGCCCACTGTTTGGGGGTGCTCTATTAGGACACAGCAGACGTTGATGTAGACTTTTTTGTTACCTGGAAGCCAACTGCCACCATAACAAAACCGAGGTACGACTTTAGGGCTTGGACTTGAGCAGACCTTCTCAGGACTTTGAACGTCTGTTGTTACTACTCTTGGAAACCTGAAGGTCTTCAAGGAGCCTGCTGGCAAGGACTTAAGGAAAAATGTTATTGGAAGGGATGGGGGGCATTTATTAGATAGTAGAAGAAAGTTTTGTTTTTGTTTTTTTTTTATTCTTCTTTCATATATTACATTTCAGCCTCAGTTTCTTCTCTCCTCCCAGGCCCTCCCTCCCACCTCCCCTCTCCTCCAGGTCCACTCCTCTTCCATTTCCCTTCAGAAAGGGGCAGGCCTCCCCAGGGCTAGCACCCAAACGCGGTCTGTCAAGTATCAAGTTGCAATACGACTAGGCACCTCCCCCGTATTAAGGCTGGATGAGGCAACCCAGTAGGAGGAAAAAGGTCCCCAAAGCAGGCAAAGGAGTCAGACACAGGCCCTGCTCCCTCTGTTAGGAGTCCCACAAGGACACCAAACTACACGGTCACAACAGAGGTGAAGAGGACTTTGGTCAGACCCATGCAAGTTCCCTGGTTGTTGATTCGGTCTCTGTGAGCCGCTACAAGCCCTGCTTAGCTGCTTCTGTGGCTTTGTTGAAGAAAGTTGACAGAACAGACTTGTCACTTGCAGTGATGCAGATCATAGGAAATGTACCTGAGGAATGAACGGTTTAGGCTAAAGAGATTTTTGTTTCGACAGGGTTTTGCTGGCCTTGAACTCTTGACTTTCCTACCTCAGCCTCCTGAGTACTTGGCATTACAAGCGTGCACCGTGCTCGACTTGGCTAAAGAGACTTCCAAGTGGACTTTGGTAGTGTCTGTTGGGTTATTGAGTTCAGGGCACAAGGATGGAGAAAAATGAATGAAAAAGGAAGCTAACTTTCAAACAAAATTTATAGAAATTATAACAGAGCCAAGGACTTGTGGGGTTTTGAAAATGAATCTGGTTCTCATTTTCAGCCTCCGCAAATGGAAAAATATGCTCAAAATAGGAAAAGACTCTGGGTCAAAAATAAAACCCAGAACTAAATGATAAGATTTGTGTAAACCTCAGAAAGGGCCAGGTGTAGGGATTACAGGTATTATAGCATGCAGCACAGGAAGACAGGGGGATGTCTGTGAGTTTGAAGCCAGTCTGGGCTACATCGAACCCGGCCTTAAAAAACTGTGGCTGCTCTATAAGAGTTCACGGGAAATGGCATTGAGTTTAAGTACACTCTATTTAAGAAGGAACTTGGTAGCTGTGTGTAGTGGCACATACCTATTATCTAAGTACTTGGGAAGTTGGGGTCAGCCTGGGCTACACAGCAAGCACCAGTTTTAAAAAAAGTAGAGACTGGGTGTGGTGGTACACATCTGTAATCCCACTACTTGGGAGACGGAGGCAGGAGGGATCAGGGGTTCAAGGCCAGCCTTGGCTATACAGCAAGTTTGAAGTCAGCCTGGGCTACATAAGACCCTGTTTCAGGAAACCAAAAGGGGGGGAAAAGGTGGGAGGGAATGAAAACTAGTCTCCAAAGAGAGCAGCTGGTCAACTCCTGACACCCTTTCCCCAGCCTCTCGATTGGTCTGGCTCTGTGACTCATCTTACCCAACAGAATGGGACCAGTAGGGCCGGCCCAGGGACACTTTTGGAGCCATGAACTGTCCTATAGGGAGTCTAGTTACCCTCCTGGAGAAATCCACACAGAGAGGAGACTGGGAAGGCCTAGTGAGGAGAGGGAGTCGCAGGAACCTTTGATCTAGGCTCAGCCTAACCTTCCAGAGTCCTGGCCAGCATGCCAAACTTAAGGGTAGGCCGTCTTGACTTCGTGAGCCCAGCCAAGTTTAGATTAGTTGCAGCTGCTGTCTGGGTAAAGCAGCATGAGAGATGTCCTCTGCCTCCAGTGAGATCTGTAGAACTGCTCAACCACTTAGGAAGTCATAAGAGAAACTGCATGTTTGTAGCTAATTTTAAGACATCGAATTTAGTGTGCTTTTAAAAAAATTACTTTTAGAGCATGCATGCATGCGTGTGTTCGTGCATGCATGCGTGTGTGTGTGCGTGTGTGTGTGTGTGTGTGTGTGTGTGTGTGTGATACATATGGAGGTCAGAGGACAACTCTTGGGAGTTCATTCTCTCTTGTCACCTTGTGGGACTGGGGCATGAAACGAAGGTCGTCAGGCCTGCCTGTTGGTACCTCTACCCACTGAACCATCTTGCTGGCTCGAGTGTGTCTTAACAGAAAATGGTAGATTATGAAGAAGCAAGTGCTGGGCTTGGGTCATGGCTCAGAGGGTAAAAGCACTTGCTGTGCACGCCTGCCCACATCTGGAACCCCAGGACCCTTACAGCCAGATGGGAGGTGGAGACAGGACAGTCAGCCCATGGTCAACCAGTCTAGAGTGTGCAACTCCGCATAAACAAAAGAGAGACCTTGTCTTAAACAAGGTGGAAGGCGAGAACCAACTTCCGGAAGTGTTGTACTGTGATCTCCACGCGTGTGCCACGCCCCCTTCCCCCATTAGTGCCTAGGACAGAGCTTGGTATAGAGGAGGCATTTTGTACGTATTCTAACTAGATGAATGAATCTCTTCTCTCCAAACTGTCTCCTCCTAGGTCTAGTACTCCCAATTTGATGTGCCCATACCCTGATCACGTGACTGATTTAACCAACTCCCTTATCATTCAAATGAGTTCAATACCAAATGGACAGGAAGTGGACATCATATACATCTGCGACACAAAAGGTGTGGAGAGCTGTTAGTGTGTGTCTGCCTGGGAAGGAAGTAGGTGAGTGGCGATGGTCACAAGGTCACGTAGACTCACAGTGGCCAGGGAACAGAGGGAAGGGCAGAGCCCAGGCAGGGACCTGGGAATGCTGGGGCTGCAGTTCTGGAAGGAAGTCATAATGAACAAGAGGCAATGTCCCAGGGATGCAGAGGCAGGGAACTCATCCAGGTAATGCAAAGCCCAGAGGCTGTCCAAGATGTGCAGCACAGGAGGGGGGGTGGTGCATATACTATCCGAAATCCCATGTGAATCAAGTTCAAAGTCGGGTAGCGTTAACTGATGGCAAAAGAAATTTGTGAGTGTGGTTACATAGAGTTGGATGGATAATCCCTGTAGGAAGGGGCTCCAGGGAACCTTCTGGGACATTCTGCAAATATTCTGTACTTCATGCAGATGGGGTATATCTGTATCCAAGTTCATGGGGGAGGCTATACCTTCAAGACCAGTGTGTATCTTGACTTTCCCCAGAGACCCTGGAAGCGTGTTGGTGTACCCTGCCTTCATGCAGGAAGTCCCTTTAGGAATTTCCCACCTGCCAGCCATGGGAGTCTCTCCTGCACCCCACACCCCTGAGCGACTGTGGAGAGCTGCATCTCTCCACTTGGCTTGAAACAGCGTGACCTTTTGGAGTTGCAGCATGGGGACCTGCTCCTGGGACAATAGAGAGGGAGATCTGGAATGTTCTTTGAGGTTGGTGAGCATGTGGGTGTGTCTCCTCCTCTCAGCCACCTAAAGAGCCAGGCTGTTGGGAGCTGGGAAGCATTTAAATAAGACCAACAGAAACGTGATTGGTGTGTCGGGGGCTGGTTCCTCAAAGGGGAGCAGGAAGGACAGGCACTGGGGCTTAGGACCAAGTCAAGAGCTTGCTTGCCCTGCTCAAAGCTCTGCTTGGAGTCCGGGTGGCATCCCTCGGGAGGCTTCTTGTCAACTGCAGCGGTGGGTTACGCGTTTCATTCAGAATGCCCAGCAGGAAGCGACAGGCTCTACATTCCAGGGCTTTTAGTCATTTTCTCTTGCTGAGCTCTGGAGTTGAGATTAGGACTTTCTTCAAACCTCACTGTCCTGGCCTGGTCTCCCAAGAGGAAGTGGGTGGGTCACTGTGCTCCGGAGAGAACACAGGCCCAAACTCAGGGATCAAGGCCAGCAGAGCAAATCCACAGAGGTCAGCTGAAGGTGTCCCAGGTATGTCAAAGGGATGTGAGTTGTGGGGTGGTAGCTCTTGCTCCCCAGCCACAGGCCAAGGAGAACACAGAGTCTCTCTCTGTGTGGTGTCTCTGTGCATGTGAGATGCACAGTGGGGACAGACAGGCCACGTAGCAACATTTCATCCCACTGAACCGCACACTCAAGCTTTGCTTTGTTCCCAGTCCGAGGGAGAGAAGGACCTGGACTCTCCACACTGAGAGGACAGTGGTGACACATGTCCAGATTTGGAGCAGGGAATGGACCCCACGGATACAACCCAGAGAAACCACAAGTTTGTTAGAATGTCCGCTATACTCCTGGCACTGAGCCCCCGGGTCGGGAATAGACCAGCGTGCAAGAGAGACTCCATCCCAGTCGTCACCAAAGCACCTGGGACATGTGGCCTGGCAGGTGCCCACTAGGGTAAGGGAGAGAGCATGTTAAGGCAGAGTGCTGGTAGACACCAGATGCCAGGAGTGGGAAGGGAGTAGGCGAGTGTGGATGGCGGAGAAGGCACGTAGCTGTAGGAAGGGCAGAGGCCAGTCTAGAGCTTGGCGGTGTGTGTGTGTGTGTGTGTGTGTGTGTGTGTGTGTGTGTGTGTGTGTGTGTGTCATACCTACCACTCTGAAAGAAAGACATGCTACGTGGGAGGCGACGTCCCCAGTTGCCGAGGCAGGGCTCCTGGGTCACAGAAAGCCCAGAGCCAGGCCCCGAGAGGAGAGCGAAGAGCTTACCCTCTTCTCCAAGGGTGGGGGGCAGAAAGATAAACACACAGTCCTGACCCAGCACTGCAGCCATGTCTGGGCTCTGTGAGGAGTCAGAACTCTAACTAAGATTCCCAAGACTTCCCAGCCTGTTCCCACATGAGGATGGGCTCTCAGACCCACAATCCAGGAACTCTCAGAAGGCAAAAAGGATTCTAAGATGGAATTAAGGCTACCGATGAGCGACGGGGAGCTCCTGAAAGGATGGCGGCTCTTCAGTTGAGAGCAGGACACGACGTCATCGGTTGCCAGCTTAGATATCTGGTGGTGATTTGAAGACAGAGGGGCCTGCATGGAGGAAAGAACCTCAGAGAGGCAGCTTCTAGGAGCTGGCATCCAGCAGGAAGCTGTGACCTTCCGTCCTATAGCCAGAGGAGCTGAATTTTGCCACCGGCGAGAACGGTTTAGATTGGAGTTTCTAGAAACCAGCCCAGCCAGCTGAATCCTCGATTGTTTGGCCATCTGAGCTGACAGCCCAGCTGGGCCCACCTGGACTAATGATCTGCAGAACTGTGAATAATAAACAGGTGTTTTAAGTGGCTAACTTGTAGGCGATTTGCTCTGTAGCAGCAGAAATGGAACGTTTTCCCACTGTGTCGCTGCCCCCTAGACGAGTTCCTGAGGCTCTGTGACTCCCGCTGTGCAGGGGGACCAGGGACAACTTGTAGGTATCTGGCTGGGGCTCTAGCCTGAGCCCGGCTGGCTCCAGCATTCTTTGTATCACAAACACTTCCCCTACCACAGATGAGGGGCACCATGTCCCCTGGCCCAAGGTGTGGGCCCTCAGCACCTCACAGTCTCCTTCTTAAGAACCACCCCGCAGCCCAGCCGCTTCCAGACCACAGCCTACAGGGTACAAGGCTGCCCCGACCCAGCTACCTCCCTCGGGAGGGGGGGAAGAGCAGGGCTCTGAGCAGAAACAAGAGAAGGGTAGTGACCTCAGCCTCCCCGTTCCTCTCAGATGACAAGTCTGGGCTCTGTGAAGGCAAGAGACAGCAACTGTGAGCCAAAGCTTCGTAAAGTTCACCCCTCCCCCACCCCGGCTGGAAGCGGTCTCTGATTGGGCAGGATGGGGGATGTTTAAAATCCTGAGCTTAGGCCAGGGAGATGCTCAGAGGGGAGAGGCCCTTGCTGCCAAGGCTAACAGCTTGAGTTCAATCCCTGGAATGTACGTGGGGGGAGGATGTACTTACACAAGTTGTCCTCTCACTTTCACAAGTACTATGTGGAGCTCCCTCCCTCCTCTCTCTCTCTCTGTCTCTGTCTCTGTCTCTCTTTGTCTCTGTCTCTGTCTCTCTCTCTCACACACACACATACACAAAAAATAAAGAAGAAGGTAATAACAAAAAATTGTGCGCTTGTCTCCTTAACAAACTGCTGGGTCCATGGTCAGGTGTCTCCTGGGAATCCAGACTTATTTGCACGGGAGAAGACGTTTATGTTTCTGCTTTCCTGATTAAAAGGCCCTTCAGACAGGTTTTCTCATTCCCACATCAGACCCTTTCTGGACCTCTAACACTTCCAGATGGTGAAGAGTTTTTCTCTCTGCAGCCCCTAGCAGGGCGGAGATTCAGAAAGAAGAGGGTTTGAGTGGGCCGGCCTTAGCACCTACTTCTGCTGTTTCCCAGTGGGGGAGGTAAGGTGGGTAACCTTCCCCAGCCTCGATGCCTTCAGATAGACAGTTCCTCGGACACAGAAGCCAACACACACACACACACACACACACACACACACACACACACACACACACACACACACACATAACTGCCTGCTAGGCAAGAAGAAAGCAGTCCTCTTCCTCTGACTTTATCACACAGGGCTTTTTGCTAAGTGACCCAGGCTAGCCTGTCACTATGCCTCCTATCTCAGTCTCCTGAGTGCTGGGATTATGTCTGTACCCGGGGGAAATCTTTTTTTTTTTTTTGACAAGCAGACAATGATTTTCATTCTCGTGAGAGGCAGGCCTGGTCAGTCCTAAGCAAAAGTCTTCAGTCAGCATGTGGCTTTGACATCTTCCCCCCAAAGCCACTTCTTCTCTCTGTAGCTGGTTCCTTCTTTTAGGCCTCCCCGGCATGATCCCAAGGCCCCGGGGATGGGCTTGGGGAGAGAGCCCTGGAAGACTCGGTATAGTACAAAGGCCTACCCAAGCCTGACAGTGGTGTCCTAGGCACTGAGACAGGTGGCCCATGTGACATTCCTAGGTAGAGGAGAGGAAGGTAAGGCTTCAGGGACCCCTAGGGGCTTGTCTGTAGGGCCCATGAGTACGTACCCCTGTGCAGGTCCTGCTCTCGACTCGGTATCTGTAGTCTTGAATGTTTATCCCCAACACTGGGGGTCTCATCTAAATATAGCCTTGGGTACAGTTTTTGCTGCCAAAGTCTCTCTCTGGAGGGGAATCCACTTTATTTAAACGTTCCCTAGTTTCCGAGGTGAAGGCTGGGCTGAGTAGATCCCAGGAACGGAGTTTAGGGTTACCCTGAGAGTTGTCATGTGTTTGGAGAATGGCTTCTGGTCCCTTATGAGGAGGATGAAGGGATGGGGGTATGCATGGCTGGCTGCCCTTCTAGCCTTTTACCTCTGGAGGAGGTATTTAAGGGTAAAGAGGGCATTTAAGGGTAACTGCAGGTCCCTGGGTGTTGGGAGCCAAGCTGGTCCCTCCCCAGGGTCCTTCTCCTACCCTCCCCCCAGGGCCGAGTCTGAGAGGTGCTGATTGATGTCCACACTGGAGTCCTCTTTTCAGGCTGAGACTTGGAGGCCAGGGCCAGGCATTGCCCTCAGCTGTGGCCCCCACCCCCCAATTCTGGGCTCAAAGCTGAACCCAGTCTGAAACAGACAGCTTCTCTCTGCTTCTCTGGTCCCACCCCCAGCCTGCTGGGGTCTGGTTTTCATCACCCACTAATCACTGATGCTTCCCACAGCCTGTGTCTGTCTGTCTATCCACGCTCAACAACCCCTGGGCCCTGGGTGGGCGGGCGTGTGGGGGGGATTAGACAGTCAGGCAGGTGGGCTCTTGACCTGGGGAAACATTAGGTCACACGAGGGCCTGCTCCCTACTCCAAGATCGAGGAGAGGAACGATTCTGGGCTTGTTCGAGGTCACCCCCACCCCCAGCTCAGCCTGGAGCAGCCAGCCCGGCCTACCTCACCCTGGCAGCAGGCGACAGAAGCCATTAGCTGTCCTGTATACCAGGAAGGAAGTGGGTTGGAGGGCTGAGGAATTCTAATTAAGCTTCCCCAGCTGGCAGGCCGGCTGGCGGGTGAGAGCTGGCACCTCCAACCCTGCTAGTGTTGGTGCCAGCCCTATCTGGCCCGGCCTGCTTGATGCCCACCTGCCACTGTGGGAACCCCGTTTGTGGGCTGCCTTGTAAAGCCCCTTGAAGATTCCCAGGCGCCGGGGCTTTCCTCTTGGCTCCTGCCCTCCCTCCTCCTCCTCCTCCTCCTCCTCCTCCTCCTCCTCCCTACCGTGACTTTGAAGGAGACAGCCTTCGTCTACTGGTGTCATCCGGATCCACTCTCAGTTCTGGACTACTCACAAGCTCTTTGGACCTTGGTGTCATTGATGGGATGTTAATCCTAGTTTGTGTCCAGACCTTAGGACCCCCCACCCCCATAGCTTTTACAGGATAACCAATATTCATTTGGTCTCTGTCGGGTATGAAACATGAGGTACGGCTGGTTGGAAAGAGGGCAAGCTGCCCTGGGAAGGCCATTGTTCCCCACAGCATCATTTCAGGCCACAAGATTGCTAAATTGGATGGCTCCGTTTGCCTGCTGAGCCCCCGTCCTTCCTGTGCCCATTTTTATCTAGCTGTCTGTAGGCACCAGGAACGCCCCTGCTGACTTGGGTCTCTTTGGTCTTACAGTAGGATTTGTGCTTTAATACAGGAGTGTCCCGAAAGCACCAGCTTGTCCCCAAAGCGTGAGCCTCTAATACCTGGATGACAGGTAGCGTTTAGTGGAGAGTCTAGGCTAGAGGATGGGTTCCTTTTGATGCTTGCCAGCTGACCTCACACGGAGGGGGACTCCAATCACTGCACCGGACTTGGCTCCCGCCCCGGTGATTGCATGAGAGGCAAACAGTGCTAGTTAAGAGGACCATTTTTGGTAGGGTAGCAGGTTTGGTATGGTTTTTAAAGTAGCATTTTGTGTGTGTGTGTGTGTGTGTGTGTGTGTGTGTGTGTGTGTGTGTGTGTGTGTGTGTATACACAGATACTATGGTATATATATATATATATACTATATATACTATATATACTATATATACTATATATCTATATCTATCAATCTATCTAGATAGAGAGAGAGAGGCCAGGGGTCAACCTGAGAAGAATCAGTTCTCTCCTACCATGTGGGTCCTAGAAATTGAACTTGGGCTGTCAGTCTTGGTGGCAAGTGTTGTTATCTGTGGAGCATTCATACGAGCCCTGCTTCTTTGGTTTTTGAGACAGGGTCTCTCTCTCTCTGACTCAATTTGACCTGGAAATGCAACCTGTCACAGCAATCCTTGGCCTCAGCCTCTTGAGCCCTTGGAATTGTGAGGATTTGAGCCACCGTGACCACCAGCCAGACTTAGATTTGGGTTCCAGCCCTACCATGCTGAGTGACCTTGGCCTCTATGTCTTCATAATTAAATGGGTACAATCAGTACGGCCTAGATCTGCCGAGGATCAAATGATACCACGTGCTGAAGTACCTGGACAGACAGGGTGCCCCACATACGGTGGTTATCCATGTTGGAAAGCCCCTAAGTATTCTGGCCACTGTGGCTCACTGCCCACTTGGGGCACAGGGCTGCTGGGCAGCATGGCGTAGTGCTGGCACTGTGCTGGTTACTGCAGGTAGTGACAGGGACAACCTGAAAATCTAGAAAGAGCCTAGGGATGGTCTTTGCTTTGTCCAAGAGCTGTGTCTCCAGAATCCAGACACCCCCAGCTCCGACTAGGCCCAAGCCCTCCTTCAAGGCAGACCTCTGTCCTCAGCCCCTGTCTCGGGTAGTCTGCCCCAGTGGGTGGGAACAGCTTCGCAGAGGATCTGGAAGGCATCTCTCCCCAACGGTTTCTACTGGCGACAGGATGCTGCGTGGCAGCCATCTCCCAGGCATCACCACATGAGACTGTTAAGTCTCCAGGAGGCACAGAGTCCCTCAGAGCACAAAGCCTGCCAGAAGCAGAATTGTGAGGTCACAGGACTCCTTTGCACAAATCCAGCCCGCACATCTGCACAGCACTGCACAGTGGTTTGCATACGTTTGTCTCCAAATCCACAGCCCCGCCCTCCCTCCTACTGCTCCTTTTCTTCCTCTGTAAAAACCAAATATTGAAGCGGTAGCGTTGAAGCCTCTCAACCCCATCCCGTTCATTTCAGGGTGGTTTGAAGGCCTGATGGGGGGAGCAGCCGGTGCCAGGGGCTTCTAGACAGACATGGATGTGGACAATAGACTCCCTGTTCCTAGGGAACTCACAGTCTAAAGGGGGGAAAGAAAACGCATGTCTGAGATCCAGGAAAGAGATTCTGATAGGGTATACTGACTGAAGGGTACAGTAGA